AATTTTTCAAACATTTAGTGCAGATCTAACACCTATCCTCCTTAAAGTTTTCCAAAAAGAAGATGACGGAATACTTCCTAACTCATTCTATGAGGCCATCAACACCCTAATACCAAAAATAGGGAAAGACACCACAAAAAAAAGAAAATTACAGACCAATATCCCTGATGAATATAGATACAAAAATACTCCACAAAATATTAGCAAACATAATTCAAAAGATCATCCATCATGATCAAGTAGGATTTACTCCAGGGATGCAAGGATGGTACAGTATTAGAAAATCCATCAACATCAACCACCACATCAAAACAAAAAGTCAAAAACCACATGATCACCTCCATAGATGCCAAAAAAGCATTCAACAAAATTCAACATCCACTCATGACAAAAGCTCTCAACGAAATTGGTATAGAGGCAAGTACCTCAACATCACAAAGGCCATATATGATAAACCCACAGCCAGTATCATACTTGACAGAGAGATGCTGAAAGCCTTTCCTTTATTGTAGGGAACAAGAATGCCCACTCACTCCACTTTTATTCATCATAGTTCTGGAGGTCCTTGCCATGGCAATTGGACAACACAAAGAAATAAAAGCCATTCAGATTGGTAAAGATGAAGTTAAATTGCCACTGTTTGCAGATGACATAATATTGTACATAAAACACCCTAAAGACTCCACTCCAAAACTACTAGAACTAATGTCTGATTCAGCAATTTTGCAGAATACAAAATTAATACACAGAAATCTGTTGCATTCATATACACTAATGAACTAACAGAAAGAAATCAGGAAAACAATTCCATTCACAATTGCATCAAAAAGAATAAAATACCTAGGAATAAACGTAATGAAGGATGTGAAAGACCTATACACTGAAAACTACCAGAAACTCATGAGAAAAATTAAAGAAGATACCAATAAACAGAAACACACCCCATGATCATGGATAGGAAGAATTAATATTGTCAAAATGGCCATCCTGCCTAAAGCAATCTACTCCTAGGAAATTACCCAAAGATTCAATGCAATCCCTATCAAAATACCAACAGAATTCTTAAACGAACTGGAAAAAATAATTCTAAAATTCATGTCGGACCACAAAAGACCCAGAATAGGCAACACAATCCTGAGAAGGAAGAATAAAGCTGGGGGGATTAAGCTCCCCGACTTCAACTTTACTACAAAGTCACAGTAGTCAAGACAATTTGGTACTGGCAAAAGAACAGAACCATAGACCAATGGAACAGATTAGAGAGCCCAGATATTAACCCAAATACATATGGTCAATGAATATATGATAAAGGAGCCACGGACATACAATGGGGAAATGACAGCCTCTTCAACTACTGGTGGTGTCAAAACTGGACAGCTACATGCAAGAGAATGTAACTGGATTATTGTCTATCCCCATACACAAAAGTAAACTCAGAATGGATCAAAGACCTGAATATAAGTCATGAAACCATAAAACTCTTAGAAAAAAACATAGGCAAAAATCTTTTGGACATAAACATGAGCAACTTCTTCATGAACATATCTCCCCGGGCAAGGGAAACAAAAGCAAAAATGAGCAAGTGGGACTATATCAAACTAAAAGGCTCTGTACAGCAAAGGATAACATCCATAGGACAAAAAGACATCCTACAGTATGGGAGAATATATTCATAATTGATTCAATAAAGAGTTGACATCCAAAATATACAAAGAGCCTCAACAAACAAAAAGCAATTAATCCAAATAAGAAATGGGCAGAGCAGCTGAACAGTCAGTTCTCCAAAGAAGAAATTCAGATTGCCAACAGGCACAGGGAAAGATGCTCCACATCACTAATCATCAGCGAAATGCAAATTAAAACCACAATGAGGTATCACCTCACAGCAGTTAGGATGGCTAACATTCAAAAGACAAACCACAACAAATGTTGACAAGGATGTGGAGAAAGGGGAACTGTCCTACACTGCTGGTGGGAATGTAAACTAGTTCAACCATTGTGGAAAGCAGTATGGAGGTTCCTCAAAAAACTAAAAATAGAAGTACCATTTGACCCAGGAATTCTACTTCTAGGAATTTACCCTAAGAATGCAGCAGCCCATTCTGAAAAGGACAGATGCACCCCTATGTTTATCATGGCACTCTTTACAGTAGTCAAAAAATGGAAGCAACCTAAGTGTCCATCAGTAGATGAATGGATACAGAAGATGTGGTACATATACACAATGGAATATTATTCAGCCATAAGAAGAAAACAAATCCTACCATTTGCAACAACATGGATGGAGCTAGAGGGTATTGTGCTCAGTGAAATAAGCCAGGTTGAGAAAGACAAGTATCAAATGATTTCACTCATCTGTGGAGCATAAGAACAAAGCAAAAACTGAAGGAACAAAACAGCAGCAGACTCACAGAACCCAAAAATGGACTAACAGTTGCCAAAGGGAAAGGGACTGGGGAGGATGGGTGGGAAGGGAAGGATAAGGGGGGAAAAGGGGCATTACAATTAGCACACCTAATGTAGCTGGGATTGACACAGGAAAGGCTGTATATACAGAGAAGACAAGTAATGATTCTATAGCATCTTACTATGCTGATGAACAGTGACTGTAATGGAGTATGTTGGGGGGACTTGATAATAGGGGGAGTCTAGTAACCATAATGTTCAAGTAATTGTATATTAAGTATATCAAAATAAAAAGAATTAAGAATGTAAAAAAAATAGAATATACATTCCATTCTTATTCGGGTTTAAAATTCTGAGGTGAAAGAACATTGCTACATATACATTTTTCCAAATATTCAGTTTTGGGGAAGATAAGCCACAATTTTAATTATCCTTGTGGTTTCATATAAACAATGATGTCAACTGTGCAAATATTAACAAACAGATTATTTTTACCTTATTTATATGTATATGCACACATGCATATTTTTTAAATACACATGGATTATCTAGGATAGGCCATATGATAGGAAACAAAATTAAATTCAATAAATAGAAAAGTATAGAAAAAATTAAAAGTATGACCTCCACAGTGAAATGATATTACAAATCAATAAGGGAATATTGGGAGTCTCAAATATGTGGTTATGAAAGCACACAACCTTAAATACTCAAAATGAAAATAAGGTCAAAAAGAAAATCAGAAAAAATTCTAAGGTAAATGATAATGAAGATACAATACATCAACACTTAAGTGAGGCAGCCCATGCAATGCTTAGATGGAAATTTATAGACACCAATGCCTACAAAGGAAAAAGAAAGTTCTGAAATCAGTAACCTAACTATCCATCTTAAGACACTGAATAAAAGAAGTAGGAAGGAAACCCAAAAGAATCAGAATATATGTCATAAAGATTAAAGAAGAAATTAATGAAATAAAGAATATGAAAATCAAGGAAATCAAAAGCTTCTTACTTAAAGGAACAACAAAATCCACAAATGTTTAGCTAGATCAACCAAGATAAAAAGAGAAAACTCAAATTACCAGAATCAGAAATGAAAGGGACACATTACTAACAACATTGCAGAAAGAAAAGATAAATGTGTTCTATAGACAACTGTACACCAATAAATCTGACAACTTAGATGATATGGACATATAGACATTTCTCCAAAGAGGATATACAAATGGCCAGTAAGCCATGAAAAGATGTTCAACATCACTAATCATTAAGGAAATGCAAATCATAACCACAATGAGATACCACCTCATATCATAAGATAAGCTTGTATTTTTAAAAAGAGAAACAATAACAAGTGTTGGTGAGAATGTGAAGAAATTTAAATATTTACACACTGTTGGTGGGTATATAAAATAATGCAGCCATTGAGGAAAATAGTATAGCAGTCCCTTAAATAATTAAACAGAATTACCATAAAATCTATCAATTCCACTTCTTGACATATACCCAAAAGAACTGAAAGAAGAACTCAAATATATTTATACAGGAATAAAAGGACAAATATTGTATAATTCCATTTTTAGGAAGTACCTTGAGTAGTTAAATTCATATGCAGAAAGTACAATGGTCATTTTCAGAGGCTTAGGGAAGGGTAATGGGAGTTATATTTTATTAGATAAGGAATTTCAGTTTTGCAAGCTAGAAAAAGTTGTATGGATAGATGGTGATGGGAGCACAGCAATGTGAATGTATAAAATGTCACTTAACTCTACACCTTAAATTATTTAAGATAGTAATTTCACATTATGTATATTTTACCACGTTTTAAATTGTGTTCTGAGAAGAAAACATAAGTAAACCTTGGTTACTTGAAATTGGCAAAATATTCTTATATATGTCCCAAAAACCCAAGCAACACTAATAGATAAATTGGACTTCATCAAAATTAAAAACTTTTGTGTTTTCAAAAGATACCAAAAGCAAAGTGAAAAGATGACCCACAGGTTTGGAGAAAATATTTGCAAATCCTGTATCTCATAAGGAAATTGTATCCAGAGTAAAGATATCAATAATAAAATACTATAATAAAATAAAACTATGATACAACTCAATAATAATAAATGAGAAAACCTTAGTTTAAAATGGACAAATGATCTGAATAAATGTTTCTCCCAAGAAGATATAACAACCAGCAGCACATGAAAACACTAAATTTTATATAATTCCATTCATATGCTGTGTCCAGAAAAGAGAAATCTACAAAGAAGTTGCCTAGGATTAGTGGAGAAGAAAGATGAAGGTAGTGGGGAAGAAGAGCTAAAGAAAATAAATAAACCTGGAAAATAAAATAATTCCCGTTCATGAGCATGGAATATCTTTCTTCAGTTTCTTTCATCAGTCTTACAGGTTTCAGAATACAGGTCTTTCACCTCCTTAATTAGATTTACTCCCACTGGATTTGGGGAGGAAAAAAGACCTTATTAATAGCCTCTTTGCCAGAGACAAGTGACAATATATTACAAATATTGTTACTTATGTTATATGTTTCATTTCCACATAAAACAAATTGATATTCAATAATCAGAATCTTACATTCTTTGAAGAGTTCACTTGAGCAGTAGTTCCATCTTCTGTTGGGAACTTGTATATCTGGATGCCATTATTAACCAATTCAGTCATTATCTTACACTTAAATTGCTGTAAATCATTTTTAGAAATTGTATCTGCTTTGGCAATCAGTGGTATAATGTTCACCTGTTAAGAAGGAAGCAAACAAAATCCCACCATTGAGACTGATTGTTAATCATGGAAATTTTACAGTCAAAACTGCACAATTTCTGACAACTTTTTATAACTCAGTATTCACTGGCTGTCATGCCTTTCTCAAAAATCGCTTTCTGTACTCATCAGTACCTCTAAATATTAATCTTTTATCAGAAGACAGGCTTAGAAGTCGATTTTATTTTTCTTCTCAAACTTTCTTACACTTCCACAATTTCTGGAGTGAGAAAAATATAAGTAGCAAAGTGAAGAACCCTATTCAATTCATTACCAATTTTATTTATTTTTTAAATAAGTGTTAAGAAGTCAGAGACCTTTCATCAAAATAGAAAAAACAGATCAACTTTCTTCTTCTACCTGTCATTTCTTTACATCACCTTCTCCAAAATGCATTCTTAATGCTCCATTTTCACAGATCTTCACTCTACCTAGGTGTCTTTGCAGAATATTTGCTTATGCTTTCCAAAGACCTCTTAAAAATAAGAGACTTTTTGTTACCACATTTTAAATGCTAAGTGTGTGCCTGTGTGTGTTTAGCATCTTGCTGACAAATACATTCATTTGTAATTTATGAAAAGTAATTATTTTCATATTGTATATTTCAGCTTGAAATTTTATTCATAAATTTTTCTTCCTTTTTGTACAATATGATCACTCCTGTTTCCACGCATTTACCTTTCTAATTAAGTTTTGTAGAAAATAGCAATATGCAAAAATCTAAAATATGTTTTATTATTGTTAAAATAACATCTTATTAAATCATAGATACACAATATCATGTTCTGAGATATAGTAGGATGTGTAAAAGTCAGTTTCAGTATGTTTAGTTTTAGATTCTTCAAAGAACATTTTAAAAAATTCCTTGTGCAAATCAAGAGCATCAATATTATAACACAGATGTTGCAACATTGTCTAATAAAAACTTAAATAACAGCTCTTACAGTAAAAAGCAGACAACTGCTAAGGTAAATTTAAGACTAAAATAAATGTCTTGAAATATCTCAAAAAATTGCGTTAGTGAGAAAGCTGAGTAAAGCTATCTTCTAGTGATAGTAAATCACTAACACATGGGAAATGGAAACTTTCCACATCCATAATTCCTCAGGTGCTCATATTTGAGAACTAAAAGTCACTTATTGCAAGGAGAGCTGATTACCTGGAAGACAACAGACACACACACACACACACACACACACACACACACACACACACACACACACACACACCCTTGCTCACAGCTTTATCTAATGTGGTCTTACAAAAATTAACAATTTTCTGTATATGGTAATAGCTTGGTGACTACAGCTGCCCATAAAATTAATAATAAAACAGTGTGTTCCTGACTACTTAATGTCCCACTAATCAAGAAACTGAAGTTGCTCTTAATTTTAACTAGAAATCTAACGTCTTTAATTAGTTGACATTATGAGATGAAGTACATGTGTTTCTAGTTTGAAAAATACACAGCAAAATTCAGGCTTTCTTTGATAAAGGGAACCCAATTTTAGAACTTTCCTCCCTTCCACTAAATAAAGTTGAAGAAAGCATGTTTTATCAGGGCTGAGTGTAATAAAGAATTTCATGACATAACAGTTTCTTTCATATGTATACAAACCCTCCATATTGCATTCTGCATCCTCTCTGATTGGACCAGTAGCCAGAATCATCAAAAGTTTATGTTTCACACCATCAGTGGTACCAGTTAAATATTAATGGTATATTTATAGAATTATAGAGTACATTTAGTACTATAAGGTATTATATAGTGTTATAGAGTAAATTCAAATTAAAAAATACAGGCAAATGACCATAATCTGATTATCATTTAATCACAAAAAAAACTAATTTTTAATTTTTAACCTGTATCTCATTTTCCTAACTGCTAAATAAATTTTCTAAATAAAATTCTCTGGAAAGAAAGCTAGGGTGAACAATATCAATGTGCTTTGATGTATTTGAACTATCAGATGATGTTAGGGACTGAATATGCCTCCCTCCCAGTGCATATGTTGAAGCCCTAATCCTCAGTGTCTCAGGTTGTGACTGTGTTTGGAGATAGAATATTTAAAGTGATGATTAAATTAAAATCAGGCTGTTATTAGGATAGGCTCCAATACAATCTGACTGATATCTTAACAAGAAAGGGAAATTTGGGCAAAGGGTCATCAGATGTATGCACAGAGGAAAGTTCATGCTGAATACATGGTGAGAGGGCATACATCTGCCAACCAAGAAGACAGATCTCAGAAGAAAAAACTTGATGACGTCTTGATATTGGACTTCTAGCTTTCAGAACTGTGATAAAAATTAATTATGATGTCTAAGCCATTAAGTCTTTTTGTAATAGTAACCCTAGGAAATAAATATAAATCATTTAAAGATTAATGAAAAAATATGATATATACACACATTACAAAATAACAAATTCTTGTATGCAAAGGCTTTAAAAATACATATTCTCTCAAAATAATGATTAAATCTTGATAGGTTGATGGATTTATCAAACATACCTTACTGTCAATGTTCTTCATGGTCAACAGATCAAGGGACTTCAGAGAATGTCCTGTAGGTGAAATGAAGTAAAGGCATACATGTACACGAGAATCATGGTAGTCAGTGAAGGAACGTTTAATTTTCAATTCTTCTTGAAGATAGGCTTCAAACTGGGAATCTATGTAGTCAACTATTGGTTGGTAGCTGAAAAACATTAAACTTTTATAATAACAGATTAATAACATCTGAAGTCTGAATTTTCACCATTTAAAAAATAGTTAATATGTGCACTCAGTAGTTTGCCATAATGATAAAAATATGCATAAGATGTTCTTACAAAGAAACCAATTACAACACAGTAAAAGACCCACACTTTGTTTACACAAATTGCAAAACGATCTATTAATTCAATGCAGCCCCAATCAGAAACCAATGGGAAAATATTTATTATGCATGTGTAAGCAAAAATAAAGCAGAGGTGACTATATTTACATCAGAAAAAATATACCAAAGGGGTAATAAGAGACAAAGAAGGTCATTATAAAATGATAAATGGGTCAATTCATCAAGAGAATATAACAATCATAAATATATACACACCCAACAAGGAAGCACATAAATATATTAAGCAAATGCTAACAGCCCCAATCAGATGTACACAGAAGTGTAAAGGACTAAGAATGCTCAAGATATACTGAAGAAAACAAGACATATGTTCTTCATGTGTCAGATCTTATCATGAAGCTAAAGTAAAACAGAAGTGTAAAGGACTAAGAATGCTCAAGATATACTGAAGAAAACAAGACATATGTTCTTCATGTGTCAGATCTTATCATGAAGCTAAAGTAATTAATATGGTGTGGTAACAGCACAAGGATAGATAGGCTAAAGAACAAGAAAATTTTAGGTTGTGAAATAACTGTTCTACATCACCAATGAGTGGTGGATACACAGCTGTGCATTCTTAAAAACCTGCAGAAATATACACCACAAGAAGTGAGGCTTACTGGATATAAAATTTAAGAGTGTTGTCAGGGCATTGTGACAGCAAATACATCCTTCCTTTTTGTTCTACCTTTTGACTCCAGAAAGTTGGATCCATCCATGAACAAAAGGACCATATGCCATGGGACCAGGAGGATTATTTCCCAACTCGAAGTTTAGTTTTGGCAGACAGACCTCTGTATAGTCTGTGGATACAGCAGAAGCCAGCAAACCTGCTCCAATTCCTTTTGCCAGCAGTCAGAGAAAAACTGAAGAGTAGTGACTTGGGCATGCATCCACAGATGAGAGACTTGTATAAATTTGGCAACCCAGATGTGAGATTCCAGTGCTCCACTGAGAAAAATTTGGATGCAATGGAAATGATAAGAGAAATTTTTCCAGTGCCAACTCTCCCCCAAGGTAAAATTGCATGGGGCTGGAATAGCCAGTGTCGACATCTCACAAATGGAAAAAGGAGAATGGTGAGTGAGTGTCTTGTTACCTTAGCTGTGCAGGATACAGGTGGAGAATACCATTTATGTACAGCAGCACCCAGAATACTGAGGTAGGAACTCCAGGACTTGGGGTGAGGGGTCCAGGAGGAGATCAGGAAACAAGCAGATAAGAATATCAAAGGAAATTAAAGGGCATGGTCCCTGCTGACAGACTCAGGACTTCATCAGAAAGTCCACTTATGAACCTATGGATGAAACTTATCTAATGATTTCCACTGAACCCATGGGCACTCCCAATACCTGAGTGTCAAACCTATACCTGCCTCCACTCTGCAGCTGGTTTTGTGTGCCCACTCCTAGTGTGGTGGCAAGAGTGAGACCTGGTAAACAGAGTGTGTCAGAAAAATCAGACCAGGGTCTGTGAGCAAGGAAGAAACCACTTTCTGGAAAAAACATTAGGTGTAACACCACTTTTGGGGAATAAAAGATTCCATCAGCCAACCACGGGAATTGTAAGAACCAGATAAGACACAAGAGCTCAAGAACTTTCCCACAAGAGGGAGCAAGAAGTGTGGAGTTGAGGTCGCCATACAAAGAGAAAGCATCAAGATATAATAGGATCAATGAATAGTATATCCCCACTGTATGCAAATAGTAAAGATTTGAGGAGGTGTCCATTACCTTAATGCAAAGTCATCAATGCAAAAATACAAGAAACATGAAAAATCAATGAAACATATCATCATCAAAGAATAATTAATAACTGAATCAAAGGAATGAAATTTTGCAATTTATCTGGTAAAAATTTGAAAAGAGCTGCTTTAAGGAAATCCAATGAGATATAAGAAAGAAAATTCAACAAAATCAGGGCAAGAGTGCATGAGCAAAATGAAAAATTCAAGGAAGAGCTGGAAATCATAAAACAAGATAAAGACAGAAATTCTGGAGCTAAAGAATTCAATGAATGAATGGAAAAATTCAATAGAGAGAATCTATTGCAGAATAAATCAAGCAGAGGATAGAATCATTGAGCTAGAGAAAAACAACTTTGAAATAACCAAAGCAGAGTAGAACGAAGAAAAAAAATAAGTGAAAAAAAAAACATAGAAAGCCTTTGTGATCTAAAGGATTCAGTAAAACATACAAAATTAGAATAATTGGAGTTCCAGAAGAAGAGAGGGAGAAGGGGCAAAGAGTTTATTGAAAGAAATAATAGCTAAGAACTTGTCAAACTTGGAGAGAGATTTAAATATCTTAGTTCACAAACCTAATAGATTTCCACATATCTCAATGCAAAAAGACCTTCTCTAAGACACATTATAATAAAACTTTCAAAAATAAAAGACAGAGAGAGTCAGAAAGCAGCAATAGAAAAAGCATTATAACCTACAAAGGAACATCCCCTAGGCTACTGCAAATTTCTCAGCAGAAACCAGACAGGCCAAGGGTAGGTGGAAAGACATACTGAAAGTGTTGAAAGATATGTTACCAGACAAGAATACTCTATTTGGCAAAGTTAGCCTTCAGAAATACTGGAGAAATAATTACTTTAAAATTCTGAGTAACTTTACCAGATCCACGTTGCAAGAAAAGCTGAAAAATGATCAGGCAGAAACAAAAACTGCTAATTAGTTCATGAAAAAAAAAAAATTTACATCACACTGGTAAAGGTAATTATACAGCTAGCTTTAGCCATATCAAATTATGTGATAGGATGGTCTGTTAACTACTTAATAATACAAAAGTTAAGGACAAAAGTATTTACAGTAACTAAACACACTGTAAGTTTTTCATGAAAACACAACATAAAAATAGGTAAATTGTTACATCAAAAATACAAATGGGGAGAGTAAAAGCATGAAGCTTTGGATGTAATCAAAGTACCTACCACATATAATCTACTGTGTTATTTACTCTTGATAACTACAAAGCAAAACCTAGAGTATATTCTCAAAAGATAAAGAAAAGGGTATCAGAACACACCACACACAAAATCACCAATTTATAAATATAGATAGAAACAGAGGAAGAAATAATCTGACTACAAAAGAGCTAGAACACAATAAAATGCATTAGTAAGTCATTACATGTCAATAGTTACTCTATATATAAACAGATTAAACTCACCATCAGAAGGCACAGAATGTCTAGAAAGTTAAAGAAAAAAATGAGACCCAACTATGTGATAACGTAATAAAGGACTCATATAAGTTCAAAGTAAAGGAATGGGAAAATATTTATTATGTATGTGTAAACAAAAATAAAGCAGAGGTGAGTATATTTACATCAGAAAAAATATACCAAAGGGGTAATAAGAGACAAAGAAGGTCATTATAAATTGATAAATGGGTCAATTCATCAAGAGAATATAACACTCATAAATATATACACACCCAACAAGGAAGCACATAAATATATTAAGCAAATGCTAACAGATCTGAGGAGAGAAACAGACAACCATACCATTATTATTTAGTAAGGGACTTAAATACCCCACTTTCAGCAATGGATAGATCACTGAGACAGAAAAATCAACAAGGAAGCATTGAGCTTGAACCATCATTAGATTAAATGGGCCCGAAAGACATACATAAAATGTTCCATCCAACAGTAGCAGAGTACACGTTCTTCTAAAGTACATGAAACATTGTCTAGGATAGATCACATCATGGGCACAAAACAGTCTTAGCAAACTTTAAAAAGTGAAATTCTACGAAATATCTTCTGTAACACAATGATATGAAACTAGGAAAACAACAAGGAAACAAAAATGTATAAGGAAGTGGTGAATAAACAACACACCCCTGAACAGCCATTGGGTCAAAGAAGAGATTAAAACAACAAATGTATTGAATTAATGAAAATGGAGACACAACACACCAAAACCTAAGACATACTGAAAAAAATCCCACAGGGAAGTTTATAGTAAAAACTCATACTAAAATAGTAGAAAGATTATACATAACTTTACACCTCAAGGAACTTGATAAAAAGAACAAACTAAGCACAAAATTAATAAAATGAAGAAAGACATAAATCAGAGGGGAAATAAATGTAAGAGAGCAGGAAAACAATAGAAAAATCAACAGAAAACAATGAAACTAAGAGATGACTTTTGAAAAAAATTAAAAATTGACAAACTTTTAAGAAGACCAAATAGAAAAAAAGAGAGATGACTCAAAATCAGAAATGAAAGAGGATACTTTATAACTGATACCACAGATATATAATGCGATCATGGCAGACTAACACATCCAACAAATTGAATAACACATAAGAAATAGATGAATTACAAGAAACGTACAATCTACAAACACTGAACCATGGGGAAATAGAAAATCTGAACAAATTAAAAGTAAGGATATTGAATCAATAATCAGAAACTTCCCAACACAGGTAATCCCAGGACCAGGTGGCTTCTCCAGTGAGTGCAACCAAACATTTACAGATGAATCAATGCTAATTCCTTACAAACTCAAAAAATTAAGGAAGATGAACACCCTCAACTTCATTTTATAAAGCCAACATTGCCTTAATAACAAAGTCATAGGACAGTTCAAGAACATTAAAAGTAGAAAAATATCCCCAATGAATATAGATGCAAAAATTCTCAACAAAATATGAGCAATAAACTAAAAGGATCATACATCATGACCAATAGTTTTATCACTGAGATGCAAGGCTAGCACAATATACACAAGTCAATAAATGTAATATAGACTAAAGTATATAATATAGACTAAGTATATAAAATATAATATAGACTAAAGTATATAAAAA